GATGGGTGAGGCTCGGTCTAGGCACTGGGCCACGGAGCCACAGTTCGTACGAAGACGTCGGTGTCTCCATCTCGCTCCTTGGCGTTGACGCTGGAGGCGCCTCGGGGTAGTCGTCAGAGGAACGATCATGATTAAGTTGGATAGAAGAACATTCGTCTGAGCCGCATACTGGGGAAAGTCAGTCCTCCGCATGATGAAGCAGCGCAAGGTGCTTCGAGCAGTCCATGAAGGGCACGACATCGTCATCATCTGCACAGCTTACCCTAAGTCGCTGATGACACAGGTACTGTTCAGGCCGATCATGCAGTAAAATGCTGATTCGACCCTTATGTCATATATTGGATAGCCCGAAAGTAAAGCCCCACGGTTCGCCAGACACACGTTTTGGGGGTTACAAAACGATAGTGCAACGGCAAAGGAAACGGCGTCTCCCTACACTTCATCCTGAGCAGCGTGTTGAACAGCCAGTTGAGAATAATGTCGAGCCACGATCGTAAGCGGCACATCAAGGACTGGGCCATGGAATCCGGTATTCTGTATATGAGTCTTTTACAGCATACTTTAATGGATGACATCTTTTTGCTATGCTTGCTCCAACATAGGTAGAGACTTGTTTTGCACGCGCTGTGAAACATGCAGAAAAGGTCTTCGGTGCTGGCAGTGGGTGATCTCCTAGAGGTAATGAGAACCGTAGTGAAGGGATGGGAGACATTTCTACACATTCTATCCGCTTACGTCTGAGTATAGGGCTATGAGATTTGAGGAGGCCTTGACGGTTTTTTGGCAAGATTGGAAGGGGGTGCTGGTGGAGAAGCAGGCGTTTGGCGATGAGGTGCACCCGTTGCTGGAGGATAGAAGGAGCGCAACTGCGATGGGAAGAACATTATTGTGTTATCATGGGAGGGGGTTGGTATTGGGGAGGGAGGCATAGCAGATGAGGGATATGCTCATGGGATGGTTGGGGGGAAGTGAGAGGTGGGCTCAGGATGGATATGATATGATGGTAATGACGTATTTTCATTTTTGTCTTCAAAAGTAACATCTCTTTCTGTCTTTGCCTATCACAAAGATAAGTTGATCTCTCTTCCTAAGAGCGATGCAGAGCAGAACAACCCCAACACCAACGCTTCCCAAATGAAGAAGACCCTGCATTTGCCCGTCTATCCAGACACCGGCATTGCCCCAAGCGAAGAAACCGGAAAGACTCCAGACCGAGAAGTATATGGTAAATATAAACATAAGAAACGTCGCAGTGACGACTGGGTATAAGATTCGACACGTTGTATCGGAAAGATGTTTGGCAATGCGATTAGACTTTCGCATCGCATCGCAGGAAAGTCCGGACATTCGGACACCGACCGGGGGATTGTGTCGCTCGGTGTGTACGCGTCCGGGGTGTCAGATGTTTGACGATTCGGTGGGGTGGTCTTCCGTGCTGTCGCGTTTCATGTCGTGTATCGGTGTCCGATCGGACTTTACACAACACGCCCTCTTGCAGTACAGCATGATGCCATCGAGAATGTCATTGCTTAGTACTCCGACCAATGGCACTGCTCGCCAACCTTCTCAAACTCCAAGCTCCTGTTCACACGACGCCTTGCGCGCTCTTCGCGGCCGAGACAGCAGAATAGGCGTGCGAGACCGCTGCGCTTCCGTGGCTCGAGACCCTCGTAGGGGTTCTCTTTGGAGTGCGAGGCTGTTGTCGATGCTGGGCTGAGAGGGATGGTAGCGTCGGCGAAGATGTCACGAGGTTTGCGCGGATTCTTTTCTGAAGTGCTTGAGTAAGGCGAGTTTGTTTGCGATGAGTTGGTTGAGAAGGATGTGTCGAGTGGAGAAAGCATTTGCATTTGACGGTTTGCTCGGGGGGAGCTGGGGAGGCCGCTAGGCGAGAGTGGTGGATAGGACATTTTGTATGGACGAAGAACGGTTGTTGTAAGGCGTGTGTGTGACGGAGATGGTAGTCTCGATTCAAGAACGAAAGGAAGCGTGTGAATGATTATATGCGATGACGACCGGTGGTTAATAGATATCAGTTAAGAAGCGAATAAAGCCGTTATATGAGAGAAACAATGTTTGTATGACAAGAAGAAGGCACCAAGGGGACGCAGAGGCGTATATGTTTATGCCGATCCATCATCCTGCCGTGACCGCAATCATACGTTACCCAGGGGGGAGGCACTGCAAGGTCTCTCCACGCCAAGGGTCCGACGCCGTAAGATGATGGCCAGGGGCACCACGCGGTCGCAGCGCAGCGCGGGGCACCGAAAGTCCGCCACCAAAAGTATCCCCCGGTCTGTCACTGCCGCAAAACAGGACATTTGCAGCAAAGCGTAAGTTTGTCCGCAGTTTCACAGGGCGACGATTTGTGTTTTCCATGTTGGATTTTCGCGGCTCTTGTCCAACCACAACAATCCGCGTCGCGCAAGACCAACCAACAGCGCGCAGCAAGTGCGGCGTAAGGCGCAGCTCGCTGCATGAAGGTCTGAAACCACGCCGTCTTCATGCGGAAAGGCTAGACCAAACGTTGCCAGAAAGCCTGAGGCCCGCGCTCCCAAAGAGTCAGCGAACCTGTTGTTCCTGCGAAAACGAGCGTAGGCAAGGCTGTTTGTTGGGTCTGGCTGCGTTTGTTTTTGCGATGACGACCCCTGCTGAACTCCTTGAAACGGTCTCAACGTCGCACGTCTGTTGGAAACAAACGATGGATCGCTCGTCACCTCCCGCGCCGCGTATGTTGTTAATAGTTGGCTATTTCCCATGTTCATGCGGAGGATGGGAGGAGCGAGTTTCGTTACATGTCGTCCCGCGATTGCGCCGATGGAGAATCCACCGGGTGAAGTCGTGCTGTCAGCACTTGACTTCGGGCCGCGTGGTGTTGGATGAGCTACCAACGTGGATAGTGGCATACATAGTACGCGTGTTGTCTGCAGTTGGAGCCAACTTTCCCCACTAGTTTCTTCGAGCGACCCGTCAAGTGACGGACAGTTGACGACATGTGGATATATCTACGCGAGCTGGTCGGCTTGTGCATGATAGTTGTTGGTTTATCACCGGCATTGCGTGCGGCACAGCACCGTTAGCACTTCCCCGGGATCCTGCAATCCTCCGTGAAGCTTATCTGGATTGATGCAGTTCATGCGAGAGATGGAGATTCCTTGGCTGACTTGCTGTGGAATGTGACCAGACTCATCGTTCCCAAAGACGAGTATGACTGAGCGCTGTCACAAGTCGTTGGTTGCGGAAGAAGCTACCGTGTTCGTGAGCAAGAGCCGTATGCATGCAACGCGTCAAGACTGCCTCGCCAGATATACGTGCGCATCTTGACGCGAATGCGGCGTGGTTGCTTCGCCGCAGTTAGCGTTGTGCGGCACAGCTACAACATACGCTTATCCAGCTTTTTTGATGAGTATGATGCGTAGAGCCTGCGGGCGGAGGTATAAGGACACTACTGGAAAGTAAAATGAGCGAAAGCCATAAGGCCTTCCATATCAATAGGCTCATGCTATGATGTCAGCGCTACTTGCAGACTGCATTTTCAGGCCATGAGGCAGGAGCGCAATGCCACTACAGTAATGAAATACCATACCTGAACTCATATCAGGAAGAGGATGAGTAGGCATAATGGACTGGAGTGGAGAAGATTGTTTGCAATGCGTTGCCGCGTCATGTTCGCTGTTCCCGAGGTCAGTGAAAGAACGAAGAGAAAGACGCGCTAACCCAAAATGGATGAAGCGACTCCACATTCAACTACCGTGACCACGACCGATCATCCCACTTTCACCACCAGCTTCTATTCTTCTTCGCTCGGGACCTTTTCCGGGCGTACGCACATATCCTGCCGACCACGTTCACTAGTGTCAAAGTAAGCTGACTTCCATACGAGTAGTCCCGAGGTGGTCGCGAGAAGATCGAGATGTCATTTCAAATAAACTTTCCCATTCTGTGCACTAACTACGACCATGACGGGAAAGGGGGTATAGAACGCCGTTGCACATGCTATTGCTGACCACGAGGCTCAGCTCGTTGCTATCCTGAAACCCAAACGCCTTGTGCATGAATACAAACTCAAATGCACCTCCTTTCCTGGACACCAAGATACCAAGTGACGCCTGCAATGCTCTGGACGGCGGCGATGTTGTGACTTCAAAGATACATGTCTTCGGTAAGTCGTACCTTCGGTACCCTCATCTCGCTCCGGAAGAGGTTTGTAGATGTCGGAACGTATGCATCATACCTTGCGAGACTTACGGGGTGGAGGGGGGTGAGCCGTGCGCCACGTGACCTTGAAGTCGTTGCTGGCTTCCACGTCGGCATTCTCAGCGAGGGGTGCAGGTACGGGGAGCCTGCACTGCTGAATGTACTCATCGACCTGGCTTAGCATGACACCCCAATGGTGATTGGCTTCTGCATGCTCGATGGCGATGGTGAGACGACCACGATGCTGACCTTGAGGAGCGCGGCCCTCAGCAAGTTCGTGGCGAAGTCGAAGTAGTTATACATCTGCCATCAGATTTTGTACGCCACCGGTGAAAATACTAGGGGCAGGGACCCAAGAGGAGGCAGACTTATCGGCAACGAGAGGTCCGTAGTCCTCTCGACTCATCTTGGTCAAGGTACTACGGAGCCTGTCGGCTTTCGTCGCAATGTCAGGATCATCGTCAAGGCCTCGGGCCCAAAGCTTAACTAATTAGCATGCTGAATCTGCCTGCTGAAGATTGGATGCCACTTACCATCATTCTCGCAATGACTATGAGGTCTCCGCTAGCGCGAGCGCGAGACATGAAACCATACCATCGATATCCTAACGGAATGTACTACATGATTGAACGTTAGTAAGAGCGGAGCAAGACTTCGGGTGATGACGAAAACTGACAGTAGCCATCTCCATGATAGTGATATGGAAAGAGAGCAGGTTGAAGTTGAGGCTTGGGGGTGGCGCCTTGAGGTACAGAGTCTTGTTGGGACCGTTCAAGGCTCCATTACCATTTCCAAGGTTAGCGTTATCAGATATATCCAGCGGAGTGACGGGGAGGAGGGTTGAGATTCGATGACGATGAGACTTGTGGAACCGCAAGAACAGAGACTGAGAGAACAGGAACCGGAGGTAGTACGGCGACTGATGACGCGATCGCACCGTGTTGGGCCGAATGAGCCGCTCGATTTGTCGCAGCTGTACTGGCCGGTCCAGAAGTAGATGGGCCGCCGGCAGCGTTGTTCGAACGGACCAAGTGTGCGTAGAACGATTGGGCAGACGGCTGATGTAGAACCTGGGCAGTGCGGCGGCGAGGAACGCATCGATAATAAGTACCGCTGCGGCTGAGAGCGACTAGTGCTGCTGCAATGTTCAGATGAAGCAGTTCGGCCTCCAATTCAGCAAGCAAGCCATGTTCGCGGAATTCCTGCTGGATGCGATCAAATTGCGCCGTGTTGTTGTTGCTGAAATGCATTCGCAGCTGACTCTTGAGCTCCTTGTACTTCTTGATGTACGCGTTGTGTGAGTCGGTATCTGGAGTTGCTGCGTTAGAGATCTGTAGCTCTTGGACAATGGACAAGTGTGCTCGGGGTTCTTACTGTGGCTGTCCATGTCGACATCATCGGATTGCTCGCTGTCGCCGTCGCCGCCGCCATCGTTACCCGCCTGACCGTTGTCCTTGACTTGTACATCACTGCCAGCGTTGCCATCGGGGTGGCCGTACTCCTTGTTGATATCTGGAGTGACGCACTTGGTCTGGGCCTTGTTGCTGTCGTCGGCGGCCATCGTACCGGAATGCAGGGGATATGTGAGAGCGAGAAGGTGTAGCCTTGCAGCTTAATTCCAATTGCGACGTTCAGAGAGCGAGAGAGCGGGCGTTGGCGTTGGTGGGGAAGCTGATATAGGCAGGAGGAGTCGGAGCTCTCGCTTGGCCTCAGCGTCCTCTGTCCCTTCACTGACTTCCAAGTCAACGAAAAGAAGCACCAGTACCGCTCGCAAGACGGCTGCGGCTTGATATCGACGACGAGGAGCCTCTGGTATTGCTCATACACCCCTTCAACACGCTCAAGCCAGCCCATCTCACGGCCAAGCGTCCCCTTGCCGGCCTCCTCCAGGTCGCGGTAGTGCACCACCACCTCCGCAAGCCCCGACACGACTGACGTCGACGAGCTCACGCACATCCGATAGCGAACAAAAGCAGGAGCTGCCGGTCATCCCAAGGATGTCGCAGGCGTAGCGACTGCATGCCAGCTCGTCGTTGAGCTGTACAAGGTGAGGATACAGCTCCCATCGGACCCCTGGATGCACACCACTGACGAGGCACCCTAGCAGAGACCAGGCTGCGGAGGCCATCAAGCTACCTCGACAGTCGCTCGCGGCATCGACGACTCGCTAATCCAGCCGATTCGTGATCTCAACTCAATCAGCCTGTCCCGCATAACCGCAGCCCTGCTCGGTCCGGCAAACCCCCAGGACACGACGACCCCGACGAAACAAAAGGTCTAGACGGGCGAAACCCTCGTATTCGAAAATGGTCAAGCGAGCCTCCCATTGCCGCTGAGCAGGGGTTTCGATAGCCTATGTGCGGATCGAATGCGAGACCAAGCTCCAAGGATGCACGGAGGGCATCAAGGAGAAGCATCCTCGCATCGACATTGTCTATGGGCAACCCGCGTTGGGGCTTCCGAATACCCGTCGAAGGGGCGCTTCTTCGGTTGAGTGCAGACACGCTGGTGCGCTCAAGAGGCTTGGCCTCATTCCCTTGCAAACAAGCAAGGCTGGAGATCAAGAGCATATGCAACGAAAGGGCTAGGGCGCTTTCATAAGATCCTGGACCATGCTGGGATTTTGGAAGGATAGTAGACCAGATGCGCGTGCCAAGTGCAAATCGATCATCTCTGACACATGGGACGACGGGTCTCCAGGCGCCGGGAAACGTTCAGCTAGTGCTTAGAGGAGGGCGCCGCCAAGAGCTTGGGTTGGTCATACCGATGCGCAATGCAGTTAGGCTTTCTGAAGCTGCATGGTGTCTTCCTCGAAAGACATGACAATTGCCTCCTTGCTCCCCGCGATTTGGTAGCGGTAACCAAATGGATCAGACGATAACCGTTATGTGCCATACATCACAAACGTCTCTGATCGGTACCACTCGTTGTCGTGAACAAAGACCGACCGCGAAGTTTGTACAGAACTAAGCGGACTGGATTGTGATGACGTCATTGTCTCACCCCTATTGAGCTGAGATCGGATGGCCTCTATGACCGTCTACTGGGAAGCATGCCAGTCGAGATCGTGACCATGTAAATCAGCTGCAACAGAGCAGTCTCTACCGAGTGGCCGTCGGTGGGCGCCTTCGGGGAGCTGAGCAGATGTACCCGTAGGTGATCCGTTTCATGCGATCTTGAGATTTGATGTTACCGTCCAAGAGAACGTCGCTTGCGACAGCGAAGTGGAATATTTCAAAGGTCCGAGAGGATGGCATTGCAGCCTCTTCATACTCTTGACACGATTCGGTAGACGAATCAAGCCGTTCTCAATGTGGATTCGCCAGCGTATATGCGTGGACATCGCGAAGTCTTCGCAAGACAGCTCATGAGGCGAGTGTCAAGGTCTTCCGTAGCGAGTGGGGTGTCCAGAAGGGAGAGAGTCCTGGAGTTTGCAGATTCCCAAGTCATAGCCCTTGGAACAAGGCTATGACGAAGGGTCTCTAGCGATGTCGAGCCACGTGCGAGCATGCGATGCTTCGACCATCGGACTTAAATGCGAAGATGTCAGAGAAGCCCTCCGAACCAGTGTTTACCCCACGGGGCTTTGAAACCCCAGATCCAAGCTCTTTCTATGCCAATGTGGTCTGGTGTTCTGAAAGACATTTTTTGCAACGGTGCGCTTGCGTGGTACTGTAGCGTTTGCCGAGAATTGCTGTGAGATATTGCAAGGCTGCGGGAGTAAGGACGGGTATATGACGCGCCCCAGGGACGCGAGAAGCTAATCGTCAACCATGTTCTATCTGGAAAGCCTGATCTGCTGCCGTGATATGGGAACGCTGGGAAGACGACGTCGCTATGGTTAGAGTCATGTGTGGCTCAGCGAAGACTAGTGCCGTACGCATGCGCGCGAGCGCGTCGCTAGTCCGCTGTGGCAGCCATCACCGTCAGCTCGCTGTATGGAGTCGCCAGAGAAGACAGCGTTTCACGCGCATCACTTTTGTGCATCTCTGTTGATGCGTGTTGCGTAGTCGGCTGAAGGGTAAGGAGGCGTCGAAGAAGGAAGCGTGGCCTGGCGAAGGAAGCGGCCCCGCTGGCCGCCGAGGATGCTTCCGGAGATGGCTCGGGCTCGGCAGCTGCGCCAATGTCATCATCCCCCTTCGCGTCTTTGTTCTTCTTCCATCCTCGCCGTCATCGCGTATCCATTTCTACCCCCGCGTGTGGCATTTGATGACTTGACGACGATATCGAGTCAGCCGTTGAGCTGTAGTGGGGATGAGGTTTACTCGTTGCGGCAGGCTCGCGCGGCTGCGGCTCACGTTCTCGGTGGGCTACGAAGGTCGAGGGACGTGGAATGCGATACGATAGTAAGCTCAAGGCTCGTGGTGCGATGGAGCGATCGTGTTTGCGCATGCGGCAGTTAATATTGACATGCTGAGAAAGAGTTCGCGACGGGAGTCCGTTCGTGGTCCGCCATGAATGTCGACCACGGGGCAGAGGCAGTAAGGGCGACCTATGTGATGTCGAGGGGTCCTCAGATGATCGCATTGATGGTCAGTCCTATCGAGGGTAAGGTGTGTACAGGTTCACGATCTCAGGATTGTCAAAGAAGGTCAGTGCTCCCCGGTGAGTCGTCAGGGGCGGATGTTCACGGCATTTGCCACATCAAACGCGTTAAATGTTTGATGTAAAATCAGATGGGCAGACTTTAGCAGACTTCTCGATTCACAGGTCGTGGCATGCCTCTTTCGGCTCGCAGCAATGTTATCAGCACCCAATCACCTCGAGAGTCACATCATAGCACAGCAATATCTTTGGACGTCGCAAGTGCGCGTAGCAGGCTACGCATCCGATCTCACATACCATCCATGTTAACTAGGATACCTGTGTCTACCACATAAATTTCTGGTACTGTTAATGCTACGTGGATGGGTGCATTATCTTCCCTACCTGAAGCCAAGCTTCAGCGTCAACCACATCCCAACCCGTTGTCCGCACCGCCCTCACAGTTCGTGATTAAGCTACGCGACTATTGGCTCTCCATACTCTCCTGGCTGTCTTCTCTACTTCATGTTCTCCTCCTCTTGATCTTCGGTGTTCTCCAGCCTTCGCCGCGAAGGGGACCCTGTCGATCGTTCCGGGCCCTGTGACCTCGAAGACGGTTGCGCGGGCGATCTTGTAGACTCTTGACCTGGCTGCTGATGGGAAGAAGGTCGGGCTGGGGTTTGGAAATGCGCAGGATGTGGGCCAGCAGGTCTTCGGCGAGGACGAGGGAGATCCGGTTCGGGTAATGCCTCCTGGCGCGCGACTCGCCGCTCGAAAGCTGCCTGGTTCGCTTGCCGGTGAAAAGGAGTCATAGCCGCCATCGAGGACCCAAATTCGTCAGAGCCAGAGTTGTCACCAATCGTCTGCGTCGTCTCAGGAGGCAGTTGCGGAAAGGAGCCGACACCGTAACCGAACGGGTTTGATGGGGGAATGCCCAGCTGCTGAACAGCGTTTCTACGCAGCACTGGTGTGAATAGACCTCGAGGCGGAATTTGGCCACCAGCGCCGAACCTGTTGCCGACTCCAGCTTGAGCCCGAGCGACCGCAGACGACGTCTCTGCATTCTTGTGCGCCGCATGGTCCTCTTGAGCGTCGGAACGGCGCCTGAGATACTCGTTCCTGGTCTGATCTCGCAAGACTTCGCCAGCGCAAGCCAAGTCGCCTTCGAGGCCTCGAGATGTACCGCGTGGTGGTGTTTGCGGATCTTGTGGGCGAGAAGGTGTTTGCACTTGGGGTGCTCGGAGCGGCGTTGGTGGATCGTCCACTCGTCGGCGATACCTGAGTACAGCTTCTGGAGCGGTGGTCATGTCGCTCTCGCTTTCTTCGTCGCCTTCATACCCGCTGGTCGCCTCGCGGTCCTCTTCAAGCATGTCTTCGGGCTCGTGTCTGCTGCTTGAAGGCACGCGCGAAGCACTCGGCGGGCTATCTACGTTCTTGGTATTTTGAGGACGCATCGCAGAGTTTGTTGCAGGTAAAAGCGCAATGAAAATGTCGTCGGGATATTGGGTTGAAGGAATTTGAAGAAGATTGGAGAAAGTGATGCGGTGATCCAGCGCCGTGGTTGAGCGAAGCCTCAACGTGGGGTAATGGAAAGTGAATATATACGCGAGTTTCAAACACGTCGGTCATCTCAAGTCAGGCCAGATTCTCTGTGCTCTGGTGACCCAAGTCTACCGAGTCAGCCCCTTAGCGGTTTTTTAGAGACCTCTACGTGGCGCCAGACCTACGAGAGACGTCAATAACATCCTCGCGACCTCGCGTCGGGGGCTGCCATGCACTTATACCCTCAATCGAGGAGGGAGATGACGGAACGGACTGGAAGATGCTGATATTAAGTACGATCGCTTGATTGTTGGTTTTAACCAGAAGATGCTAACAAACTATCTGGTGTCAAGCAAGAAGCGTGCAGCGCCTGTACATCATCCTTCCCGATACAAACTTCAACGCCACATCTCGGACTTCTGCCAACATCGTGTTGGACACAATGCGACCAAGAACTCAATACTCGTCCTGGCTCCCGAAACCGTGCCCCATACTCTTTATGTTCTCTGGGCCAATAAGACCTCCTCCTACTTGTTCCTGGTGGACCGCCTCGGCTTTCTACGTACCGTCGACGGTTCAGGCTCTTTGTCTCCGTCTGCAGGCTTCGGCATATGCTCGCGGAGATACTCGTTATAGTCCCTTCGCGCCTTCATCGCCTCCTCTAGGCTCACCACCTCCGCTTCTTTGTTGCCAAGTTTCGGTAGCCCTTTGTTATAAAGTGGAAGCGCTGTCTCGTATTCTTCTCTAGTGTCGAAAGAGAAAGAACGCCAAAGACTGTCTCTGGAGTGTTTGATCAGATGCGAGTGGAGCTTTTCGAGGTCTTCGCGATACATCTGTAGTGCAAGGTCTTCGTCAGGCGCTGACATGTCGCTCAGGATGGAGGTGTCTTCGAGATCATGGCTAGGATTGCCTTCGGGGTTAGCCTGGGTAGCGTCTTCGATATCGTCTTCAACATCGCCTTCAGCACTGTCCTGAACACCGTCCTCAGCACCGTGTTCATCGTCATCCTCGAAAATGTCTCGAGGTTCGATGTTAAGATCGTCACTGGCTTCGTCTTCAAGGTCGTCTTCCAGAACATCTCCGAGATGATCTTCGAAATCGTCTCCATCAACATCTACGAGCCCCTCTTCAAACCCTTCAGCAGAATTTTCGTCAACTTGCATCAGCCATGCATCCTCCGCGACTAGTGAGAAGTAGTCGTCTCCAGCGCCCCTTGGCGCTGCGGGGCCCTCGTCAACCCCAGGAAGTTCCGTCTTCGTTTCAGAGCGGTTGCTTGCAGGCCTCTCGACGGATTGATACTGGTGGTCATGCGGGGCCTGAAGACGGTGGACCTTGCGATCGGGGCGTGCAGGAGGCTGAGGACGTTGTGGCCCTGTCGTGTTGGGTGTTCGACTGAGCGTCTCGAGCCAATTACTTCGCGGCTTTGGTGGTCTGGTATACCAGTGTGATGGACCGCCGAGGTCAGCAGTCGGCTCGTCAGGGAGCACTTGCCAGCTGCTAGCCGGCTTGAAGTTTCCGTCGTTGCCTCTCACAAGTGGCGTCACTTCCTTGATATCCACAAACGTCTTCACCCTCGGCTTTCCTGTACCACGCTCGTAATGATTGCGCGTCCGTTCGTCGTCCAACTCGTCGGGGTATCGATCGTAGTAGGCCAGCGCCCACGGCGAAAGCGACCATCCATCGTGGCCGATGCCAGCGCGGTCTAAGTCATGCAGCCAAAGCCCCGGTTTGTCTTCCCGATAGTCGAACTCGGCTACTGTGACTCCCCAGCGCTGAGCGAGACCCTCGTAGTAGCTTTTGGTAAAGAGACCGTCGTCGGAAGGCGGCGGAGAGGGAGCGCGGCGGACATCTGGCGTTTCGCGCGCAGCAGTCGGAGGGGCTGTAGTGTTCTAGATTCGTTGTCAGTGTCTGCAAAAGGTCTCCGGCCATCTACACGATACCTTGATTGAGGGAGCGTCCGGCGTAGGGACTTGGGCTGGGAGATACGATGACTGCCTTGTACCCGCCATTGTTGCGACTGACATGAGATGTTGTTCTTCAGTGCGAGTGGAGGGGTAAGTATGTGGGCAGTATATTTGGGGTCCGTGTGGTCTCTGCTAATCTTCTCGACAGTGAAATACAACGTTTCGGCTGCTGACTGCTCTCCCCTGGAGACGAGTATGAAATTTGGCACATGGCGGAATACCCTCTCAGTCTCCGAGTCCAGCGTCTCGGATCACATGCGTACTGCACGCTACGTGAAGCACGAGGATACGCGAGTTGGACGGTCTTGCGGCCCCACTGTCTGCGAAGTATGCATGTGTATGAGGCTCTCAACTCGTCCATCCATCAACGTCTCGGCCCTTATGGCCATCGCAATGATCTAGATCGCCATTTGGATGTACAGCGCCCACAAGCATCCTGTCTAGCAACCCATGTTCATCAATTCGAGACGATGCATGAATTTCTGGTTTGATTACGACGAGCTCTTAAGAGACAAAGGAAGTACATTGTAGTTTCGGATCATCCTTGTCCCATTAGCAGCTAAAGGAACAGTGACGTTGTGTAGAGGCTGTTGCGGGTAGTCTGCCTCCTGGGAAAGACAAGCGAGTCGCGAAGTTTATAGCACGATTTGGCAAACTTCAGCACGGCACACGTCCTTATCATCACGTTCCTTGTTCACTGGGGGTTGGCTTTGACAGTTCGGCAGCTCGCGTAAGGACTGATAGGATGAGAAACTCTGTCAAAGGCCCAACTATACATCAAATCGCTATGAACTTTTACGCTTTTGCGTTACGCCCATGGACCAAGTTGTTGTTACACAAGCAAAGACGTACAAGTCCCTAGTCATGTATGGAAACCGAGGCGAAAGCTTTGAGCCTCTTCGGTTCTCGCGACTGAGGGCGCCATGACGGTGCGTACACAGTCTCTTCACCACCGTCGAGCTTCCGCTTGGTGCGTGGCCCACGCAAGTTCTCGAGAGCCTCTCGATCGTCCTCGACCAACCCCTCGAACATCTTCCTGCTCTTCTCATCTCCGAGGTTCAGAGAACCTCCAATCGCCGAGCATGCATTGGCAAGGGCTGCGAGATCGTTCATGGAGACGTAGCGGGCAAGGAGTGTCTGAACTGTGGAGAGCCGCATCGCGGAGACAAAGCCGATTTTGCCGTTGGCTAGACCCCGGACTATTGTTGTGTCGAAGCTCGGAGAAGGCTTCACACTGTCCTTCTTCTCGTCTTGTAGGCGTTTGATGCATTCGTCGATGAAGGGGGCATGCTGGAGCTCTTTTGTCTCGGCCGGGCGGGGGGTGTGCAACAGTGGCGATGTTGATGCAGGTGGAGAAGACGCATTAACGCTATGCGCGGCGAGGAAGTCGGGGTGTGTAGCCTTTGGCGAGGACTTGGTGTTGGGGCCCGTCACTTCTGGAGATTGTTAGAAATGTAGGGCGGACAAGTATGAAGGCTTTATGTCATACCGGGTGGACTTGCTGTGCTGCGAGTCGGCGCTTGATCCATGTTGATAATAAGCCTTGAATAGCCGTTGGATGTAGACGTAATGCTTTGCATTTTGGTTGCCGAATTCAAAAAGGCGAGTCGGTTGCGAACACCGTTGTACGAAGTATGAATTGTTACAGTTGGCTTGCCTGTGCAGTCTTTCAGGTGGTAAGGAGAGAAGAGCATATTCGTTACCAACCTTCGGTGGCTTATCAATCGAAGCATGACCCGGTGACGCTGTCTGTGCTCCAAAGCCGCCTCGAGACCAAACAATTGCCTAGCGCACTCTCGGAACGGCTGGAAAAGATAGCCTGTTATGTGAAACGCAAGCGACCAATCGGCGGCCACGTAGGTGCGGAAGATGTCTTCACGTATGCGAAGTTTAGATGCCCAGCCATTGCTGGTCAAGTGAGTACACTGCGTGTGACACTGGAAGGTATGAGATGACGAGCACAGTGGAAATGTACCTCATCAAAATCAGGAGATATAGCTTATTAGTAGTCATGTCCTATATACACCTGCCCCATTCAACGGAGCGAACGATGTGACTAGAACACGGATACCCGAGTTCCATCAAGCACAGGATCTTGACCGCATATGCGAGGAACTTTCCTTATGGTACAGCATCGCTCAGCCAAAGAAGAGACACCCGATAAAGAAGCCTTGGTATCGTGCTCGTGAACACGTTCGAGAGGCTGGACGTGGTGACGACGCATTGGCTCAGCGGGCCTACCTACCGATCTCGGAGGAGGTGCCAAGCATTCTTAGCTACGATGTGTTTCAGTAAAGCGCTGTCTTCGTATAGGCGACCTCTTGTTGAGCTGCATACCGCCTGTACGTATACATTTCACTACGAGGAGGGGTTGTTTGGGGGCACAGACCTCGACTGAGCGTCCAGCCATGTCTTTTACTTTGCAACTCACAACATCCTAACCAGACCCCGCTACGCCCCCTTTGGTTCGTTTCAAGATCTCTACAGCCGCGAACAAATCCTTGCATGAGAATCGCACCGATTATACGAGTGTAGCGCAGTGTCATTGCGACTAACACCGCTCGAACGAACGGCGAACTGCCCAGAGACGGATCTTGATACAACAAGAATTGTATGCGCTACGATTCGCGAGAATAGGAACTCAGAGGCTAACAGTCGCGGCAGACATGGCTCCTATCTCATCGCTGAAACAACTTTAGTGTGATCCGATGGCTTTCCACACAAACGCCTTGACTGGCTTCATCGCCGAGACTCCCACCTCGAGGATGAAGCCGATACTCACGAGAGCCATGATCGAAGCCGACGACTTTTGCATGAACCACCAGAGCATCGCACCGCTCTTAGCATGCATCTGGAAGTACAGCCCCAGTCATGTTTCTTCGACACCCACAGCAGTCGAAATGGCTGCCGGCCACCGTTACTGGCTGCCATGCGGATGCCTAGCGGAGGAATGGATAACCTTCTTCACCTTCGCCGACGGATGGCTCGACTTAGCGCCGCCTGGAGTGAGGTCGGCCTACGAGGACGACCTGGTCGATAACTTTGGGGTTTGGCCGAGCTTCGCGAGGATCATGCAGGATGAGACCAGTCTGTCCACCCATTATGATTGGTTTCTGCCAGGAGAGTTATCTGATCAACTTGCTCCCAGTGGCTCGCATTCTCATCACATGACCCACTCACAGACCCCACGAGTTGCCGAAAAGACCTCATACCCCAAGGTCGCCAGAGACCCTTCAAACGCGACTGCGCTCAAAGATGGATATGGTCAGCCTAACTCGGCGCGCCGTAACATCACAGAAACAACCGGGCTGAGGAGAGGTCTGCTTCTGGGACAACTATCAGGGACCAGTCCTCGTGCGCTCCGCCAGTCGTCTGCGGCTCCGGTAGGCCTGTCGGTTCAACCACTTCCGTTCCCGGCCGTTGTCGCCCCCCAGCGCTTGTCGTCCGCTCATCCTACACAGCATATACCTCAAGCACGCCCACTGTTAGCACCGGCCCAGTCCGCAAAACAGGCGTCTCAGGGAAACATGCAGCCAGCATCGGCTCTAGTTCCAGGCCCTCATCAAGGTCAGCACTCTGTCGCCCAAGTCCCTGTGTTTCCTTTGCGGTCTATACGCAGCGGTGCGGCTGCTTTCGAGCAAAATCCGGCGGCTCCGCCCGTTTTCCACCAGCTGCTTCAAGCAAAGGGGATTACCACTGCGGGCTTCCGACCAGGAAGTGTGCTTCCACCGGGCAACAATAACATCGCCTGGAGCGCTGAGCGCATCCGAGCATTCGTGGAGATCGAGGGTAAAAGCATCCAACGACTACCTTCTCTTGCATTTTCAGTAAATGGCACTGAGATGACCAACTTCCGGACACCAGCATCCGTCGACATGCGCTGCTGTCCTTTTGAGGTGTCGCTCGAGGAGATGTTTACGGCAAGTGCAACATCCGTGTGATTTGAGCACATTAGCAAATCACTAACAACAGGGCAGTTCTTTCCAAACAGCTGTACGTCCACTCGCGAGACATGTGTCCGGGCGATGCAACATTGGACCCCCATGGACATATCCCGCTACATTGTGAGTGTGGCTTCAAATCTTGGATCTTGACAGAAGACTAAGCTAATGCCATTCTTACCAGAACTACGCACATGATACTCAGACACCGGGAATCTGTAGTCGTTCGAAGATCTCGTATCATTTTAAGGCCGCGGAGGAGTGGCAAAAGGAGTATCCAGACTTCGTTCCCACCGCCTCCCTTCGCAACGTCAGCAGAGACAGCCTCTTGAAAGGCGAGAACAGGATACTGCACGACTTCTTCCTCTACAACATGGGTGATGGTGTGGCCCATCCACCTGCTCGACGTCAAGCGCAAATGTTGACGCGTGTCATCGAGCACGTTCGAAGGGTCACCGGGGACCGCCACATTCGTCTGAGTCAAGCTGCGGAGTACGCGAGGCGGTACAACATTACAGTACCGGTTAATGAGCAGATGAACTTCATGAATCTAGCCGTGGAGGACCAGTTGCCGTCGCCCGCGAGGCTTTTGGCGATGAAGGCCGACTACTGGAACAAATTCGGTGACCATCCGTAGTTTGGAGTCGCTGATGAGACAGACGAGCGGGGAGTCGTTGGCGCAAGAGCCGCGCAAACAGGTTTCGATACCCAGGTCCTAGTCGATGCGTCTTTTGTTGGGTGTGCCTTCAGGCGTTCAGTAGAAGGTCGTCAGCGTTGGAAGCGGGGCAGCGAAGTTTGCCACCAAGAATACCCCTGTCCATAATCAGTTTAGTGTGGAATGCGCCTCAAGTGCTTCCAGATGTCCAGCCGAATAGCTGCAACCACCTCATCTTTGCTCATCCAGCATGCGACCACCATCACTCGCAACAATCTTTATCAGACCATGGCGCTCATTACCTCTTGTGAGATATGTTGCGGTGCTCAAGCGATCAAAGCGTAGTAGGTAATCAGGAATCAAGGTTCCAAGGTTTGCGACGGCTCATGGTAGTATGAGCAAGAATCTGTGACTCCATGGTTAACACCCATATCAAGTCTTACCCTCGTCTCAAGCTTGCGTCCATTCATCACGTACCGACTGAAACTTTGAAGCCATTTCTTTCTCCGCACATTCTTTGCTATCGCGTATAGCCTCACTATGCCGGCAAGCACCAAGCCTTCGTGTAGGCTCCACGACACGGTCATGTGTCCATTCAAGTTTCTGTATTTTCGCCACCTGTCGATTGTGCTCGAGCATGCGACTCACAGTCACTTCCCGAAATGGATTAGAGCGTTCTGGCGTTGCGCGGACGACCTCTCTCCCCCACCAAGAGCAGATGGCCTATGGGCTCATGCGAACGCCGAACTCTCGACCAACTCAACCCGGTTGACAAAGCTCTCTACTCATCTCTCCTTTGCATAGCGCTTTTAGCCTCGGCTCAAACATTTCTCATCTTCTTACGAACTTTTGTGTAGCATGGATACACCGGATAGTTTTACGAGGAGTAACGGAGCCCGATGTAAGCTTCCGAATCGCGATTTTTATTCCTACTGACACCCACTCCAGGCCTTCCAGGCAATGACATGATGTCTCACGCATATGGAAATCGACCTGTAGCGTCCATGTCGGCCCCGCGCGGCGTCATGTCGCAGATGGGGAACGAGGTCGACCATGGCGCCCAGCGAGAACAACCACCTTCTCCCGCAGACCTTCCTTGGAATGATCCCGCCGTGACGTACACACCCGCACACTACACGCGTCGAAATCTCCTGCAGGACCGGCTTTTGCAGAGCAACGAATATCATCGCCGGCGAGTCAGGGCAGTCATTGAGTTCTCCAGCGACTTATTGATGCAGCTTGGACAGAACCTGGACGATGACGACCTGATACTATACATGGTGTCCAAAGATCGTCTTCACGACGCATGGATTGATATCTTCCTTACGACGCCTGACTGCTATCTGCAGATGGCACCGGCTGAGATACAAGAAGTATATCATCAGCAGATTACATCAATGTCAAATGGGGTGAAGATCAACGAGGAGCATACCTTGGGTCGATCGAGAAAGCGAAAAGCTTCCGAAACTGAGAACGGGGTCCAAGTACTCCGCACAGCTAATGCAGTCAACAATGCAGAAGGACAAGTGCATGAGTCTGGTAAGCGACCCCACCACGAGATCCCCCCACTAGCAGATAAATCACAGTCTCAGCGTCACTCGTCGCTGCCCTATGAGACTCTACTTTCAGCTTCCTCATCGCAGGAGCTGGACCGCATCTTAGACATGTTCATGCCAACTCTAAGTGCTCAAGTCGCTATCCCCACACATGACCCGATAGCTTCTGCGCCAGAGCCGGTGCTGAACGCGATGGCGGTCGCACCAGCAGTGGTAGTAGCACCTCCAAGTCAGCCCGTGATCCCGGTAGCTACTCCTCCAACAGGCGTGGCCCCCCAGCCTGGCTTAGCGGACCCCATTGCTGCTTACATGGCTGGCAACCCCTCCAGGAACACACAAGATATCGCCGGCCAGGGATGTGCAGGCATCGCAATGTCCCGTGGTCAGATCCGTGCCTTTGTCGAGATCCAAGGCAGACCATTGGCAAGCCTTCCACCCGCGGCCAACTGCAACTCTCGTCATGAGCTGAGGGGTGTGGCTCCACCAAAAACGGTTGATCCTACTTTGATCAACTGTGTCACGACTGCGCAGGAGATCCTCACTGTAAGTCTACTGCTCCGATCTGAAAAGCCCTCACTGATACTTGTTCAGTTTCTTCCATTTCAGACCGTGAACTACGAGCTATGGGATCGCATTCGGACGTCCTGGACCCCGAAGGCGGTCGCTGATTTCATAGTGAGTCGTTGGATCTCTTTTCATAAGTTACATATACAAGCTTATACTTTAACAGGCCTATGTTCGTCAGCTACGCTCAGGCAAGAGCTTCCACCGGACAACCTTCCACCACTATCGCGATCACCGACCGGAAGACATACCCGAGCATACTTTTACCACGAACGTACCTTCAAACATGTCATCGAGAGGGAAAATGGACAAAGAGGCCCGCACCTGGCCTCTTCACGACTACTTCCTTTACCATCTGGGGGACGGAGTAGTGCATTACCCCGCTGGTCGCAACGCACAACTCATGACGCGTTGCGTTTGGCATGTGCGGAACGTATCCCACGATATGGACGTCAAGATGTCGGAGATTGTCCAGTATGCAGCAAAGCACGGCATATCCGTTCCCGCTGCGGATCTGATTCAGCCGGACACAAACGTGGTATTGGAAGACACGCCTTCGCCGGCCTTCCTCGCTATGATTCATAACCATTTTGTGAACAAGTATGGTAAAAGTTCTGGCGGCATCTAGGAGACTCTACCAGATATCGGAGACGCGGTTTCATGGCCAGGACGCAGATGCTTAATTTCCCTCACCCCTGACCTTTCCTTTGGATACAGAGCTATGGAGATGCTACACAGGAGCTGTTTTCGCAAACTGTGACGCGAAGAGTGATGGTTGGACAGCAATATTCGACATATCAAGTAAAACTCATGGTGCATTTTACCTTGCTGCCTGCGTAATCTCGTATGGTGATACAATTACTCTCTTTGACCCTAGCTACTGACAAACGCTGGACCCAAGCGCGTGTGCACGTGCTTCATCTATTCACGTGTGGGTGGGGTTATATACTAGAACCATATGACCGACAGACCCTCTTGACACTACCACAGCTTCAACATCGCCCAAACAAGAGTAAGCGACATTATGAATGAGAATAACGGTAAGTTGCCTCAGCCGAATCTCCATTTAGCTCGCTTGGGGTTTAACGTACTAATTACGGCCATCACAGATCTCGCGAATAGTGCGGCGTCTCCTTCAGGTGGCTCGGGCTACACGCTGAATCATATCGTCAGTCACGGCGGTGATGATAACCCTGCTCAAGTCCAAGACTATCAAGCGTCAGATGAACTGACTCGCAACGGACTGCGCGCTGAGGCAGCGTTCAATACAACCACGGTCCAGCTGATCATCAAGGACTTCTGCGACTTGAGCGAGCGACTTGAGCAGATCGGGGCCATGGCTCCCAAACAGAGTGGCCTACAGTACTGGGTTCGCGACTCCGCCGACGGAAGGGGTATTGTCGTTGCCGAGTGTGTCTGCCTCTTGAGGTATGCGCCCGGATACACCGTGCGCGTTCCGCGGGACGTGCGATTAGCATTCGAAGCCCTCAACACCCTCGAACTCGTAAATCAAGCTATGTATCACAGCCTCTCGGGGTATCTACAACACATCGCAGCCCAACAGCCAGCGCAGGCTCTCCAAGCTTACCAACCACCACCACCGCGTATTCTACTTATACGCCAGAACCAGATCGTTGTACCGCAAGGACCTAGAACATCCGGCGTCCGTTCTAGTGGTTCCGCTGGTATCCATCGGTACGAGTGGCCAGAGTCTCGTAAACTTGCCTGGCTTTGCATCACCCCACGTATGGTTCTACCTGAGAAGGCTTTAGAATCCTCATACTGTTCCTTCAACAGCGTAGCGCTATGGGATCATGTTGATGTCCGACTGATTGGACCCAACATCGAGGTTACTCTTGTGGAGATCGCAGCGGTAGGCTACTCAATTTATCCCCCATGCGCGCAAAATGAACTGACGAAGGATGCAGTTCTTTCCTCGAGCAGCCTCATGTTGGAGGGCTCTCTGGAAGCGCTTCGAGGCGAGCGGATGGAATCTTCATAGGCTTCGCGAGCTCATCGTCAGTACTCACTGCTTCTGTCTTGGAGAACCTTGCTAATGGATCTCAAAGTTCTACTCCCGCCAGCTTAGTGTAGCCGATTTACGGGCCCACTCCGCCGGTAGCATGAAGAAGCATCAACGAGATGCTCGTAAGCACTTGTGCGCCGCCGCCGGTCTTACGCTCTCTGCGATTGATACCGATCGCGTGAACTCCACTACTGAGTTCTGCGATCTTCGCGACTGCTTCCTTGTCAGCTTGGGCGACGGACTAGTATACTGGCCTGGAGGAGCTGATCAGGGGGTGCTGACCCTTGCTGTCTGGCACGCTCGTCGACACGGCCATAATAACGTACGACTATCTCAACTTGAGCGTTACGTCGAACAAGTAGAAGAGGATATGGTTGAACTATATGGTCCCCTTCCGCAGCCCAGTGCCCTTAGTCCCATTCAGACTGACTGGTATGCGCTGGAGCGGATCTTTCCGCAGCAGACTTACGATGCGACTCGGACTCATGATCCAACGTACGATGTCGTCCGGAAGTGGTGGGCAGCGGGACGGTATTTTCACCACGACTAAGGAAGTCATGACCGCAAATGCGCTTCAGGAAGATGTACGTAGCCCATCAACAGATCGTTGTATGCATGGCAAATTGATAGTCATAACTGGCAAAGGGTCATGTTAGATATTCAGAGCTGTGGACGTATCTTACACTGTGTTCTCGGCGCGACATCAACTGTCCTGTATCTTCCTAATAAAGGCCCATCGTATCAGTGTCGCTCATGCTGAGGATGTGCACATTCTTACCCGTTCCAGACAGCATTGACGATGTTGAGATTAAATTGAGACTAACCTCGTTGTATGCAGACCTTCACTACACACCTTATCGAGTTCATTCTCGTACTAGTGTATTTCTTCCAGCGCCTTTTCTGGTCTGTGTGATACCCAAGGCAAGATTTTGGCGTGCATCCCACCTGTTCTCCAACTGTTCAGACTTCTGCAAGGCCCTATACGGCGGAGAGAGATGCGTAAGTTGCCACCCTGTGTCTCAAGGCCATGTACCGCGTCAATCTACACAGCGCCTGCACAATAGTAACAAAGGTCACCACAGACTAACCCAAAATCCACAGGGCCTCCCAGAGACCCTTATGACGGCTCTCTGGACCCCTTTCAGCGCACAATGCTCGGTACACCTAGCACAACAACGCCGGAGGACTGCTACGTGAACGCAATTGCACCTACGGAGGAGCCCATGGGGCATCTGAACGAAAGCACCACAAACCTGGATGTACAAGGACCAATACTACGCCCAGAAAAGTACGATACCCGCTTTGGCGATACGAACACTCTGGGAATTGAAGAAGAGAACGTTGGCTTCGAGAGATGGAAGACAAGGTCCGGCGTCTCCGCCATCGTCAACAGTCCACAGTACGACTCGAAATACAATCTTCGATTCCCGCGCACGACGAACAATCAGGCGAAGATCAGCTCTAGCACTAAAACTGGTGGGTTGATCCAGTCAAGCTATGTGGCCTTGTATCGCTGATACACATTCTAGCCTTTCCAATATATGACTTCGATTATGCCATAGCGTATCCGCATATCGTGCACGAATTCCAAAACGCTACACCGTCCTTCCCATACTCGCAGTCGCTTGCAGAAGACAACACGAACGTCGGCTGTAGAAGCATTCATCAGCAAATACACAGACCTTCGCAGTATGGCTTTGAGGAGAGAAGCTACGGACAGTTCGGATTCAGGTCCTCTTCTCGTCTTCAGAAGCCTCAGAATAACAGTGCACCTACGGGACTCACTATTCCGCAGGATGCAGTCAGTACGTTTCTCTCTTTGGAGCCGCTCCGCAGCGCACAGCCTCCTCTTCTTCCCGACTCGAAGGGCGCAAGGGTACCAGGTACAAATCTACTCAGACTTAGCCACGCCTGCTTTCTGGGGACTATACCTCTTCCAGATATGGCATTTCATGCGCCTGGTGTGGCCATATCTGCAAAGACTGAGGAAGTGCTTCGACGACCTGTACCAGAGTACAAGGCTGTGGCCACTTCGGTGGTGGATGTATCTATGTCATCTGGTATGTTGGCCGTCCAGCCCTCTCTTACTGCTCTTTGGCTTTTGGTCACTGCCAATAGTCCGTATCGATGCATGTCCTCCTCCCATCTAATTAGAATCTGTAGGAGATAATCCTCGGAGTGGACATGATCTCTTTGATGAGGTCTCGTCCCCTATTTAAATAGATCGAGAACTTCACCGCTTCGAGAGAAGAACACTGCGAAGAAGGACTATAGTCGGATAATGGCGAAGGAAACCTGGTTGTCGTTGCGGTGTCATACAAGCATTGAATTCACCGATTCGGTGAGCGCCGCGCACTTTATGTAGCTGAGTATATTGAAGACTGCTTTGTATAGCACCCAACACATTGGATCAATCAGACAAAGTGTATCTGACCCGGAAATTGATCTTTTGAAGTTTGGTAGCAAACCCGGTGTATTGGAAACCGAACACGATCGAGTACATTAAGATGATATCAGAGCTGCGCGAGCATAACACATCGCGTACTCGACGCCTTGCAATATATGGCGACGAAGCTGCGGTGTTTGGAGCTTACCCGTCAAGGCTACTTCTACCGCTCGTATCATTGTCTTTTAAGTGTCTCTTAGCATTGCGATAAGCCTTTTCAGATCTTCCGACCCATCACAATGTTCCGTAAAAGACAGTATATTAGAAAGCAGATGGTGGCTGTGAAGGCATCATAGAGGCTAGCGTAGCCCCTTGGCCGCAACAACCGAACGCGGACGTTGTACCCTCGTCGACCCTTTCTTTCGCCAATCTCAACATCCAATCGCTACTTCGCGCCCTGCTTAACTCGACATACACACAGCAGCCATATGTCACCAAGCTCGCTAGTATACCCATCCAGTGCAACCCTTGACAAAGACATCTGGTAAGGCTCGCATGGCGCGCTGAGCCCATCGTCCACTGACTTGCCCGCCTTGCTACAGATACTATACTCCTCAAACTGATCGATCGTCTTCGAGATCCTTGCCGCAACCATCAGCGCACCGCAAATTACTCCGCTACGCTTACTGCCATCTCTGCCGGAGAAGCCACGAATGTCGCCGCAGCAATACCCCAGTAATCGGGTGCGACACGAAAGCCACTCATCTACGGAGCGAATTCATGACAGCCAAGAGCCCTCTCGTACACCGCAGTCCCATTCTATCGGCGCGATGTGGTCCACCGGCGCAAATGAATTCGTCTTCGGCGCCACCCTCGGCGTGGATGAAGCGCACCAGTCCGCGAATGGCCATCAACAGTTTCCTGGCGCTATATACCATGTATTGGAAGATGAACAGCCAGCGTCGCCGTTTCTGTCGCAGTCTATGCGTAATCTAGAGACTACGTCGCCGGCGAGTGGCCTTTCCGCGCACGCTTTCGCCCCTCATGAGCCTTTCTCTACGCCTAGAGACAACATATACCCCACGATGCGACACTCGCCATATCACGCTCCATCTACAAGCATACCTGCTCTACCTCAGGTCCGTATCGCGTCCAAGAAAGGACCCAAGAAGACTACGATGGGAGCGCCCAGCAAGGCCAACGGAGTGGCCAAGTCTTACCAACATACACCCAGTATAAACGTCAAGGCCATCGCTAATTATGACTTTGGAAATGGGGATCTCCATCGGTCACTGTCTGCTAGCCCGTTGCACAGCGATATATCACCGCAACTCGCCCTTCCACCGTCGAGTTCCCTCGAACCGCGAAGTGACGCGCTGGACCTGGCAGCAGCAAGCTTGGACGCCGAGAAAGATAGTCGTCATGACATTCCAACACCGCATGTTGAAGCCGACGGCGGAATCTCCGCAGCGATACGCCTTCGAACGCCGAGCGAGACTCAAGGAGGCAAGAACCTTGCTCGAGCATTGGGCTTCCTTGGAGGTAGGCCCAGCCCGATCGGCCCCGGTGTCTCAGGCTTTGACTTCATATTCGCCAACCTTGTCGACGCAATGCGAGAACATCCTGGCCAAGTCATCATACATCGAAATGCGCTTCTTGATTCTGAAGACTATAACTCAGCATTCGAAGAAGACGCACGGTTGAGCCGAGACCTCTGCAATCAAGCCATTCTAGCATCCCCTCCTGATGCGTTACCGGCAGACGCCTACCTTCTCGATCTTGGGGGTGGCTTCCAGGTCACAGTCCCGCTTGATCCAATAACTGAAGCTACGTTCAAGCAAGGCGGTCAAGGAATCATACCACCCGAGGGTCTCGTACGTATCGCCACGGAGATGAACATCGACATGAAAGACTACCGTGTCGATGGTAAACCGCACCCTGTATACAGTATGGGCGCCCCAAAGCAGGTCGACATCCGGTACATGGGCTCGATACCTATAACCATAGTGGAGATGGCTATCGTGAGTATATATCGGTCGCTCAAACGAAGACACAGCAGCTGATGTATCGTATAGTGGTTTCCTGCGCATGGCTCACTCTGGCCGGACTGGACACAGCGATTTGCCCGAAGTGGCTGGACGCAAAACAACATCGCTGACTTGATTGTGAGTTCATTCTCCCTTGCCGAACCGTATCTTGCGTGAGCTAATGTGACCAAGAACCGAGCTTACAACACCGACGCCGTCGAAGGTATCGGCCCATCGACAATCAGTCAGCAGACGAATAAACATGGTCGTGAAATTCGTGAACTCTTGGAATCTTCCGGCCAGGAACAACAGCAGGTCACTGAAAGCGCGGTCCTTCCAGTAACGTCCTTTTCATGCGAGAGCTGGACACCGCCTGGCAACGAATACCGGCTAGTCGACTATTACGTCCGCGATCTTGCGAACGGTGTTGATCGCGAAAACTTTCCTTCCGGTTCAGACAGGGGCTTTCTGACTCAATTGATTGAGTATGTCCTCGACAATCTGGACGAGTGGGCTGATCTCAAGCTCAGCGATGTCCAGTTCATCGAAGATTCTGGTGGCTTCTTCCAGACAACAAACCCGGCTTTCGGGCCTGGGATGGAGAATCCAGACGAGGAGGCGTTTCACCGTCACAAGCTACACTTGAAACGGTATCGCAAGACGATGGCAGATTATCGCATCCAACAAAAGAAGGCCAAAGCAAAAGTCGCGATGGAGAGCCAAGAGCAGGCTCAGTGATCAGTGAGGTTGAGCTGTAGACATACCAGTCATTCCAGCTACCGCTAGCTCCCTTCATAACACTTAACGGACATGTGCGATGGATAGACCCGAAAGCTGTCACACGGAGGTCTCGAAGCCATCACCCAACTTTCGGTGCTGCGATATTCTTCACAAGAGACGACCATTTCGCCATCGCGTTCTCATGACACGACTCAACCATATGAGGAAAACGGTCTCAGGTATTCAGCGATATTGGCGAGAATCTCAGCAAAGCGTCTCGATGAGGAGTCGTCGGCGCGTCGTCCTGGAGCAATGGAAGAAGGGCTGTCGGGAAAGTTCGTCAGTGAAAACACAATTGCGGTTGGATGCGAACTAAGCCGAAAACTGTAGCATTGCTCCTCGTGTTTTGTGCGAGGCCGCCTGGTCACAACGTTGATCCATCGAGAAGCTTTCTTTCATCTCGAAAACCAACCAGGTACCACTCCAACACAGTTCCTCACTTCCTGCTCAGTTATGTCCTATCCTGGAGAATTTGCGGATGTGAGCCATATGAGGAAAGATCTTCGATCTTCTGATTAGTTGATCAATGGTCAGTTCCTACTGTCGCGATTCTTGTCAGTTGTCCTTGCAGAATGCGTCACACAAGATCAGCCACGACAAGAGAAGGAACGAGTCAAAGGACTGATGGATTTATTTATCTACACACAACTCAAGAGTCGACCAGAAAGACCGCAAGTACCGAATTCTAGATGTGGTGGCGAACGACCCAGGCCTATACGTGTGTTGAGCAAGGTCTGGTCCGGGAAAGAGGCAGTGTATTGTGTGAGCTTTTTGGGACTCAAGAAAGCTTCATTATCCTACTCTCTCACGCACTCCTTATACATATTTCCGTGTCACTTCATCAAGAGTGATTATGGGCACCAAAGTTTGAATGATGTGATGCTATACTTCAGCGCCTCTGTCGCGTGGATTTCTGAAGTACATGAGAAGAGACAACCAAGCCAGTGGAAGACAACTGTAGGAGTAGCTGGTCAGGGTATTACGAACGTTGCATTGAAATAAGACATATAGGAAGACAAGGAAAGAATTGAATAATAGATCTCGCAATTATCTAAATAACTTAGTATATAATTTTCTGCGTGTTGCTATAACTCTAAGTATTACAATGTCTCTTATTTAATAAAAAGTACTTTTACGTATATAGTAGTTATATAATTTAGAAATTATAAGTAGCTTATTTTACTTTATATTATTATAGTACTATAGATAGAATAGAAAAAAACTAAAATATTAAATTATATATACTATTTATTAGTAAACTAATAATTCTATAGCCTATAAACTAGTTCTAAAAAAGTAAAATCTATTACTAGTATACTAAAGAATATACAACTAAAGGTTTTAGTACTTTAGAAGTAAATAAACTAAAGCTTAGAGCTTTAGCGCTACTACTTCTAAAGTAGTTAAAGCTTCTAAATTTAGGCTAGCTATAAAGCTATTTTAATACTAAAGTACTCTATAAAAGAATTATAATATAATTATACGCGCTTATTAGCTTATAACTAATAGAGTAATATAATTTAAAAGTTTATAGTTAGAATATATATAATAAAATCTTAGTAAAAGTATACTTCTTTTATTCTATAAGTTACTCTTAGAAATCTAAAAATATATTAAAGTAGCTTAAATCTAATACTAAATAGTACTTTAAACTATTTATAAGTCTTCTAGGTAATTATAAGTATAAAAATAATTTTTTACTAGTTATATTACTTTACTTACTAGAGCTCTACTAAGTTACTTTATTATTATTTAATTACTTTTCTCTAAATTATATTACCTTTACTATATTTATAAACTCTCTTAAAATTATTATAAAAGATAGTATTATAGTAAATTTTATAACTTTCTTTATTATTTTTATAACTACTACTATTATACGCGCTATTAAAGCCTACTTTACTAATAATATAGTATCTACTAGAACTATTAATAGTTATTATTTTATAAGCGTTCTATAAAAGTATATAAAATAAGTAGATTTTACTATTATTTTTTACTAGAACTTTACTTTTAATAATCTTATTAATAAGATATAGCGCTTTTTTTATAACCTAGATCTAGATATTATAAATTACTTAGTAGCTAGAGCTTTATATATTACTAAAATTCTAGAGAATTCTATTAATATACTAATAATTAAGTACTTTTTACTAAGTATAAACACTATTTATATACACCTTACTACGTATATAATTAGAATAGAGTTAGAGCTATATTTTAGCTATATAATATAGAGTTATATTTACTTATAATAGTATACTTTAGAGAAGATTCTTAAAAAAAGTAATAAAAAATAAAATAATAAAAATAAAGCGTTTATAAGTTATCTTTAGTAGGTAAATATTATTATATAGATAGTAGTAGTATTAAAGTTTTACTAAAGCTAGTAAAAGTATAACCATAGAATAGTTATTATATTATAGTTATTAGTAGATAGAAATAATATTATAGTTATAGTTAATAGAGAATAAATATAGTAAGTTTTATTAGTAGTATATCTATTACTATATATTATATTATTTCTAGTTATTTCTAGTTATAGTATAAACTAGAAAGTTATATAAGTAAGTGTAGAGTTAGTTTATATAGTAATAACTTTATTACTATAGTAATATCTAAATTAATATTAAAATTATTCTAGTAGTTCTAAAAGAGACTAGCTTAAAGTTTTTTAACACCTTTTAATATCTTTTAATATCTTTTTACTATAAAGATAACTCTAAATTAGGCTTAAAGTACTAATTATATATACTATAGTAAGTTAATAGTTAAAAAATATATAATATATACTTTAGTATTTTTATTACTTTTATAACTTATATAACTATAGCTACTAATATTTTTTTTATTAATATTATAGGCGTTAAATATAGCTTTTAAAAAATACTTATACTTATTAATAATATTTTAGCTACTTATACTTTTTTTAATTTACTTAGTATTAATAAAGTAGCTAGCGTTTTATAAGCTAACTTTTTTACTTTACTTATTAGCTTTAGTATTACTTTACTTATTATTTTTATTATTACTTTACTTACTACTCTACTTATTAGTTAAAATACTACTTATTAGTAAAAAAATAGTATATACTTTTTTTAAGTATAAAATATATAAAAGTACTATTAACTTAAAATTTAGCTAACTATATAAGTAAGACTTATATAGTATAACTATAAGTAAACTTTAAAAAATAAGTAATAAATAATTTACTTTACTATTTTTTATAAGCTAGCTTTATACTAATACTATAAAAGACTAAGTACTTTAATAGTACTTTATTTTAGCTTAATATATAATAAATATATATTAATAATATTATTTATAGCTATAGCTTAAAAGTATAAATAAAAGTAATACTACTACCTACTATAAAACAAGGTGTTTAGGAAATACACTTGCATTATAATTATATACTATGTTACTTAACCGCGTTGTGCCTGCATTTCTGCACTAGCACATTTAACAAAGTAATAAATAAAAGTAAAGTAAAAGTTTAAAAATAGTAGTAGCTATTAAGTAATAGAATCTATATTTAAGTAAATATATATTTTATATGTGTTTTATATAGGCTAAATGTAAAGAAACAACTGCGTGTTGCTACGACTTTAGTTTATGCGATAGGTAATCTCTAACATAGTTAAACAGTCTGCAGATGCGACATTCCCTGAAATGACAAAATTTATCACATGTTGGTAAAGCGCAAAAGGTTCACGTGATGATGGAGACGGGTGTTTAGACACGACGCAGTAGCTTTGAGCAATGTGGTGTTGATCTCAGACAGCATCACGCACGACATCACATCCGCGAACATTCCCAACGAGACCCCTTTTTTCCCGTCAACTGGAACAATTCGCATATTACTCTTATTTATTGGCAAGTCTATGACTGTATCACTGAAAGAGCCTCGCTTCCAAGCTACGAAAGGCAGTCTAGACATCTACAAGCCTCTTTTCCATTTATCTGCCAGTATAACATCCTCACACTTGAACACCACCACGACACATCGCTCAAGCCTCAGTCCTCCCACCTATAGCCGTGAGCCTCAACGTCCTTCCTAACCATAGCCCGATATTCCTCATGCAACGCCACACACCTCTTCAGAAACCCCACATCGCTGTAGCCGGCCTGAAGATTTCGATCGATGAGCCAATACGCAATGAAAGCATCGAGATCAGCCAGCAGAAGCCTCGAGCAATTCATGACCTGCGCTTGGAAGAGGGCTTCAGTGAAGGGACCGCGGTCAAGACCCTGGGGGAAATTGCACGGATGAACACCCTCAGCGCAATCGATAAGCGCGTATGGTGTCTTGGCGATGTCGAAGCCCGTGTGTCGGTTGACACCGGGTGTGAACGTGTAGTGACCGGTCGTGTGGATGATCGACTGCGGTGGCTGCGGTGCAGCTCCTTTGACAGGCTTTGTCACTCCCTTCTTCTTCTTCCAGTCTTTCACCCAGGTGCGTGCGTCCATACCGAAGAGACAGTCCAGACCTTGGAGAAGGTGCTGACGATTCTTCGCGATGAAATGTTAGCCCAGTACAATAACGCGCGTTCGGTAAAGCATAGAAGAAGACTCACAATGATCCAAGCCTGGAATCTGGGGTTGATTCCGCTCTGTGCGAAACGGGCTTGTACTTCGGGAATCTGCGCATGTAAGAGAAAGAACTTTAAGCGGGTTAGCGGTATCTCGAGAGACTGTAACGAGATTCATACCGTAAGAATCTCCAACGCGGTCAGCGGGATAGTGAAGACGGATAGATCGAATTGTGAGGGGGTCACAACACTGTGCAGTGGATGGAAAGGCCTCTGAAGCACATCGCGGGGCGGCATCTGGTTGTACAGTCCGGTATGGATGAGTCGATGCAATACGGACGGCGAGTATAGGTCCGTGAACCCAGGTCCAAAGTAACGCATGCTCTTGTTGCCTTCTTTGAAGTACCCGTTTTCGTCGAAGGTAGTGCGGCCTTTTTTGACTTTGACGTCGTGCTCTGAATCGAAGTCGTCATCATCGTCTTCGTCGGCGAGGGCGGAAGTCGGTCCAGATCTCGAGCGCTTTCGGGTGTGCACCCGTGGGGTAGCGCCGCTAGGCGCACGCGCACGTTGCTGGTTCTCCCTGCGGTTAACGTCGGGGTTGTTGTTAGGTGTCTTCCGGGGCGCTTTGGAGGCAGTACCGCGCTGGCGGCCGGTGGTGGGACTGCTCATGACCGTGATCGAGACGGGAGACGAGAGACGAAGAGGCTTGATACCATTAAAAGATTGGGTGTGTAGAAGAGGCGTGTTTTATTTGCCAATACTCCCTCACTCTAGGAGATAAGCGAGCACCCTAGAACCGGCTTTGACGTCAGATTTTCATATTTGCTTGTCGAATCCTAGTGAAATCTCCATCTCTTCGGGGTATTCCACGTAAGAAAGCGTGCAGCTCCTCAACGCGACAAATCTGGGGGCGGAGGAGAGAGCGTAGCGCTAGTAGACCGGACCACGGAATTCTAGCAAGTGGATCAATTGGCTGCCTAGTAGCAGAGCAGCAATGAATGGGAACAGGCTACGATTTTGACTCGGACTGGGGCTTCGTCTTGGTTCGAGCTAGCCATTAAGAACATACTTCGATAGGCAATATGATTGTGATAGCTTTGAGGAGCAATGAAAGAATTGGGCAGCCTTGAATACCAGTCATCAGAATTGATGAGTACCTTGAATATACCTACACGTGCATCTCGTCCTGATCGGACAAGCTCCAGAAACGCTGCACAACCGCATCAGGAAGCGCAGGCAGGTGGGTCTTCATTGGGCGTACCACCAGCTCCTCACCCTTTCCCAGGCAGAGAAGCACAGCAGACCCGTTGCTTGTCTTCTCTTTAACCGTCGTCTTCAACTCTCCCAACAACCACACAAGCTTACGAAGGGCTCCTTGTCGCTTGCTGTCATCCTCGTAGTTCTTCCTTATGTCCTCTGGGGTGAAGGTCTTCTCGGTGGAAGAGAAGACGCCATCCTTGTTTGTTCCAAGAGACCACCGCGAAGTCCTACCGACCCAGATCTGATCGAGGGGCTTACTCTGGTTGTTGCTCTTCAGTTCCATTGTCTTGCTGTGCGAAATCAACTTTCCTGCCAGTAGCACAACGGTCGAGTCAGAGCTTTCGGGTCGGATGGTAGTGCTCGCAATCTCGGGCTCGGGATGCGATGTCGATTTCGCCAACATTTCCTCGATTTCGTTCCGGGAGGGCTGCTCATCGGGCATGTATGCGTCTGTCTCTGCCCTTACCACGATGTTGAGGCCACCGAAATCGTACTGTATGGTATGGTGATGTCCTTCCGCATCTTGAAGATCTGGTTCTAGTTGCGTCGTCCAGGCAGCCTCGAAGTTACGCCCGTACGATCCGTTGGTAGAGCCAGCCATGCCGGATCGAAGCCGTCGCCCCACAATCAAAGTGTTGCCAACGACGTGGAGAGTCAGTGCGAACGGCTGGCATGATACGTCCTTGACGTATGTAATGAGCGCGGTCATTGATCCGCGAGCGACGAGGACATCAATGTCGTCGAAACGCTTGCTTGGCTTCATAACAGTAAGAGCCTGGAAGAGTGGCTCGAACTGAAACCGCGGTACCTTGGCTACATGTTGGTCGATGTAGTAGCGTCCTGTGTCCGGCTCCAGTTTCAACGGGTTAGGTGGCTTCGTGAACATCGGCGGAGTACCAGGAACGTAGATCGTAGGGGTATCGGTGTACGACTTGAAGCTGTAGCTGCAAAGAAGCTCATAGCCCTTGTCCGACACATGGTTTGGCGACTCGGGTATCGTCTTGGCCAACATGCTGAAGATGATCTCGTTGCTCGTATTGGCGTTCATCCAAGGATCATCCCGTCTGCGCTTCAGATACCTCTTCCACCAAGCCACGACAGACTTCCACGTACTGCCTTCTACGTAGACACGGTCAAGGGCGATGATGGTAACCGAGTAAACAGCTAGTGCAGCCAAACCCTGCCACTTGCTCCATGACTTGGCAATCTCCATATCGGCAGGTACCAGGTCTGACTCGTATAATGCAGTCGAAATTGAGCTCAACAGCGTGAAGCAAGTGAGAAGTCAGAAGTGTCTTGTGCTGCGGTCTTGCTTTGGTAGTTGATCCAGGGGGCGATGACTGTCAGGTTGAGCGATGGTGACCTTCCGGATGGTTGATCAGTCGAACTGGGCGGTGGAATGGTGGAAATCGTATATATCGGTGAGCAATAAGGCGAATATACGGCAGGAGAGGGGCGAGACTACACTCATAGGCTGCAGCCAATAGATGGCAATAATGCAGGGAACGAACAGCATCTGCCATGAGTACGTGCTTCATTGCGCCGACCCCGATAGGGTTCAGTGAATCCACGGCGAGAGAGCCGCAAATCGCGGTCGGTAATCGCTGCCTTCGAGTCTATAACTCGAGATTGGCGAGCCTAGTGATTGCCATCAAAACCAGCAAACCATCGCGCCCACAAGCAGGATGCTGTGGTTTGCTACAGCTTGACCGCTCCTCTGTGACCGCATGTCTTAATTGTAGAAGGCAGAAGGGCGTTTGTCAGGCTCCCATACCGAAAGCGCAGTACAGTCCAATAGGCTCAGTCCAGAGTGGCCGAGCCATCCAAGCGTTTGTCTCGGTGTAAAGCGTGGCGACGATATGGATGAAGATATCGAATCATCGAGTCGTCTCGCTGACGATCGTCGGCGGAGAAAGTGCGACCCTCAAGGTGAGTACACTCTCGATTAGTTTCGCATTATCGCGTTAGTGCGCGAGTGATGAATTAGCATGGCGAGCATGTGCGTAGGGGAACGTTGTCGGGTGAGGTTTAACAGCTCGATGGCCGAAGTTCGAGGGCAAGAGCGCGACGCGTGTGCCATCGTTCGCTGACGTAATGACGCGATCCCCAAAACGCGCTACGTCTGCGCTAACCCGAGCGAGCTAATCACGTGTACCTTGCGAAGCGCATCATCGCCGCAAAGTAGATGTCAAGTAACCACGCGACTTCATTTGCGCTATGCTAACATACAGCCTACTCGACATCCGATCTTACTACCGTGGCGTGGATGTGGGCAAAGTTCCCACCCCTCCCCCGTTCGGCACGACATCGTTCGGATGACCCAGACTCATTTCCGCACTCGAACCCCTATTCCCTTTTATGCCGACAAGCTCCGGCAAAGACGATAGATCGAATGGTATCCGCTTCTTTGTACTAGTGCCAGTATGTTTTCGCTGCTTCCGCCGATGAAGGATCCAAACAGGCGCGCACATGGCCATTAACAAGAGGATAGCGAAGCCGACCGCGATGCCGGCGATGGCGCCTTTTGGTAGTGGCGATTTGCTTGATGAGTCGGGGTCGGAAGGAGTCGTTTCTGGCGCCGGCGATGGAAGAGCTTCGATCGAACATGAAGATGAACCGTCTGGTGCCGTAGAACACTCCGATGTAGGCAAGATGAACTGGATTTGCTTGCCGAGGACATGGTTCTCCCATGTATACTCAGACTCAGATCGAGTCGTAGTAGCACCCACAGAGCCTTTGCCTTCAATGCACAAGATCTCGGCTTGTGTGCTAACGTCATCGTCGGGATAGCTCATGCAGAGGAATTCCTGTGTCGCGCCTTGGTACGATGTGTAAGAACTATTCTGGTAGGTCAATCGACTGAATCAGTCGCGGTATGGATAAATGAGCAAAACTTACGAAGGACAGCACGCGACTTTGGTATAAGTAGAAGGACTGCTGAAGGTACTCCTTCCTACGTCTACCCAGCCTCCTGGACATTGTGCCGCGGGAGAGTACAAGATGGCTAAGTGAGAGGTAAGGTAGGGGCCGATCCAGTGTGTACCCGGCGGAAAACATTCGCTTGCTACAGTAGCTATGCCGTCAGAACCGCATGTTCGATCTCGCATCCACCATGCGCAATTTGTGCTTTCTGAGTTACAATTTCGGACGGCACGAGAACAGTAAGCTGGTGCGGTGAACGGCGTAATTAGCGACCCGTACGGGGCTGTGGAGTCTGGTGTTGTTACGGGCGACGAAGACGTGCGGGAAGTGGTGTCTATGTCGCTGGACAGGGAGGACGATGTTGCTTGTTCGCTAACAGAAGACGACAACGAAGACGTGATGGGAGAGTCAGCCATCTTGCGGATGTGAGAGGATGATTTTGGCTAAGAGAAGACGACGACGAACATACGGGGATCGAAGGCACCCGTGCATTCATATGCAACGCATGGCACCGAGAACATTATAATGCGGCGCATGACATCGTCGGCTAATGAGAGGACGGTCAACGGTGTGACGAGATTCACAAGTGTTGCTTGAGTTCCGCGCCGTATGCTGCGCCGCACATCTGCCCATGCGTCAAAGCGGGTGAGAGATTGACCCTTGGCAACCAACCTTGCCGGAAATCTTATGTTATGTATATGACGATGATTGGCACAAGGGATGATCAAACGGAGCTGCGGATGCGCAGTGAGATCCCGCGCTCGGCATGACCGACCCGCGCACGTCAATGGACTCAAGAGGGCGGAATCGAGCAAAAGCCCGATCGCAAAGGATCCTGAATACGAGAGTGGAAAGGTTTAGTCGGCCTCGAACGACCGAGTGGTAAAAATGCATAGCTCTTTGCTAAACAGTATGGGTATCAATATAGTAACAAACGAAGAAAAGATCCACGCCATCAAAACCCATCAACGCCCTGGTGTGAGCGCTGTTTCCAATCTCGGCGACCTAACCTCCGGCTGTGGATGAAACAAACCATTCGAACTCGCCATCTGTGTAGGCGGAGAAATCATGCCATGGTTTCCCACAAACTCAGGTAACGCGTCGTGCTCTCCACTTGGGCTAGCCTTCGGTATCGGCGCGTGGTGATGCTGATTTTGGCGACGACGCCATAGGAAGAAAAGTCCGCCGGCGAGTGCCAGTGCGGCGACCGCGCCTACGGCGATGCCAACGATGGGGCCAGTACCCAGACGACGTGATTTGGGTTCTGGGGAATCGGCAGGTGGCGGGTTGTACATTGGGGGACCAAAATCTAATGTTGGTTCGCTAAGGGGGGTAAAGGTTGCCTCTGAAGAAGAGGTAGTGGTGAGAATTGCCTCAATTCTTGCGGCCCAAGCGAGTGTACTGTCGGCTGAATATTCGCTGGTAAACCATTCATAAACCGAGCTTCCATCTGTCTGGCAGGCGAAGACAGAAGTCGAGTTGGCAGTCCAGGAGATCGAACTGGTACAACTCGAATAATAATAATGCGCTGAGTAACCGCTGGTAAACAACGTCAGTGACTGCCAAATATGCTGGCCAGAGCCTACTCACGATGGACAGCATACTGCGGTGGTCCGGCTTGACGGATCTATAATCTGACTTTGCGTTGCCCATTCATAAGGACATCCTGTAGCTGGGGAGTATGTCAAGCCCGAGTATGGGTATGGACTGCCTGGAAAGCATTCGCTAGCACGGGTGGGTCGTCCGTTTGAACCGCAGGTCTGATCGCGCTCAACGAACCCACAACTTATGGTAGGTGTGCCAGTTGAAGTTCCACTAGACGGTGTCTCAAGAAAACATGACGACTTGACAACGTTGTTGCAATAAGACGGCGCTGTAAAAGGGGTCATAATCGAATAGGCGGGTATCGTTCGCGTCGAATAGGAACTGAAGGAAGTCGTCATGGAGGCGGTTGGGAAATCGGCCATGGTTGAGGTCGGAGAGGCGATAGAATCGCGTACCACTGCGAACAAGACGAGACCAGCAGCGAGCATTTGTAGTACTCACAAGGGATGGGAAGGATGAGGTCAAAGCGCAGCCCTGCTCCGCCGCCCCCATGCTCCCGTTGTGTGAGACCATGCAAGCCTCGCGAATGGCTTTCCTCTCTCCAATGAGGGTGTGGGTCTATTAACAGGCGCGTGCAGACAGCCTGCATTCCGCGGTGCGCCTTAAGCCACTTTAGGCTCATTGGGTCTTGCTAGGATCTTGAGCGAGATTTCAATAAGGACATGGCGTTGAGTCGCTCGCCTGGTTTGTTTTCGGCGTGTTGAGGACAAAGCATCCAGGCAACCTACGACGGCATCGTGGTTGACGTCTGTAGTACGAACGATGAATTAAGAGTATGACTGTGAAAATACTACGCGACGTATGCAGGGCTGACCACCCTTACCTTTTGACAGCGCGATTTGCGTTTAGACTTGCCTTGTGGGATGCGGTGTGCGGGCAGTGATGGCGTTTGGGGGCCAAATTTCCTTTGACAGCATAACAACTAGGTGGCACAGTTACCAAAAGATTGGGTCTCGATGCTGGCTGTGGAGGCTGTGTCGCTCATGCGCTCCAACCCAGGCGATAACATATCGCCTATCAAGCGATAGCGATAGGAACATTGTGGATGTTATAGGCAACGCGATTTGGAAGACCGGCGTGTTTTCTGCGCGTCGTCATTTTGCCAAGGAATCGTGACGGGACATTCGGGGCAATTGGGCAATGACGCGAAGCATAGGTCGCAAACGCGTGCGCATGTGTGCGAAAGTTCGCCATGACTGGAATGAGATGGGAGAGAGATTGTGTGTCGTTCAGCAGCGGTTGAGTTGAGGTGAGGTTGGGGTTGTGTAGTGCAAGGCTAAAGGCTCAGGCAGCGTGGCGGCGAATTGCGGGGAAGGCGCGATCAATACTGCAGCCCCCGACATCTGTGGATAAGCAAACCTCGATACATCTGATCTTTGGATTCTGGCTTACGAGAACATGGGCTGATTAGTATACTCAACATTTGTTGTTGAGTGAGCAAAAAGGCCCGGCCTGGCATGAGGGCAATTGCCGAGAGAACGTGACCTGGCGATATGTGGCTCCGAGATCCTCGGCCCAGCCGTCGCGACCATTTTGCCCCACAAGTTAAGTTAAGAGCTGTCTCCGCCTCCGCATTCACTCACCATCTCCCCTAAACATCGCCTTCGTCTCTCACAAACCTCAATTGACCACTCCTCTCTACCTTCACAATGACCGACCGCCTCAAGTCCATCGTTTCGCACATGACGCCCTTGGCCAGCGGCATCTCGGCCCTGTAAGCTCCACCCGGACAGATATGACACGTGAAGAACGCGCGGCGGATGATAAGGGAAGAATGCAGCGCTGACAGCCATCAACAGTACCACCAAGAACCCCGACGACGTTGTCATCACCCTCGCCTTCCGCACTCCCCTCACCAAGGCGCACAAGGGCGGCTTCAAGGACACGACCCTTGACGGCATCCTCGTCAAGACGCTCAAGCAAGTCGTCGCAAAGTCGAACCTCGATCCCGCCGTAGTAGAGGACATCTGCGTCGGCAACGTCTCAGATGCCAAGGCTGCCTACTATGTCCGCGCCGCCATGCTCGCCGCTGGCTTCCCCAACACCACATCCGGCTCGTCGCTGAACCGCTTCTGCTCTTCGGGACTGAAGGCCGTACAAGACATTGCCAACCAGATCGCCGTCGGCAGCATCGAGTGCGGTCTCGCCATGGGCGCTGAGAGCATGACAGCAGGCGGTGACAGGCTCGAGAGGCCGTTCGTCGACGAGGTGCTCGAGAACCAGGAGGCGAAAGACTGCATGCAGCCCATGGGCCAGACCTCAGAAAACGTCGGCAAGGACTTCAACATCTCGCGCGAGCGCCAGGACAAGTACGCTGCTGAGTCATACCGGAGAGCCGAGGTTGCGCAGAAGGCGGGCTGGTTCGACGACGAGATTGCGCCCATCACCACCCAAATCAAGGACCCCAAGACAGGCGAGGTCAAGACCGTCACCCTGACTAAGGACGAGGGCATCCGCGCCGGCACCACATTCGAGAGCCTGCAGAAGGTCAAGCCTGCCTTCCTTCCCCACGGCGACAGGTCGCACGCCGGAAACTCGTCGCAACTCACAGATGGTGCCGCTGCTATCCTCATGATGAAGCGCTCCACTGCCGAGAAGCTCGGCCAGCCCATCCTCGCCAAGTACGTTGGTGCCACCGTCGCTGGTCTGCCACCCAGGATCATGGGTATCGGCCCATCCGTCGCCATCCCCAAGCTGCTCTCCAAGTTCAACATCACCCTCGAAGACGTTGACCTTATCGAGCTCAACGAGGCTTTCGCCTCTATGGCTGTATACTGTCTCGAGACACTCAAGATCGACCACCAGAAGCTCAACCCAAGGGGAGGTGCTATTGCGCTGGGTCACCCACTTGGCTGCACTGGTGCGCGTCAAATCGTCACTGGTCTGAGCGAGTGCAGGAGGCAAAAGAAGAAGGTTCTCCTCACCAGTATGTGCATTGGTACTGGTATGGGCATGGCCGGTCTGTTCATCAACGAGCAGAACGTCTAAGATATTTATTTTGGTATATAGCGTTGTATATGAAGCCATTTTCTATCTTCTATATCAGTCTTCACTCATCTTCCCCGGTCCATGCTCAATCAAATTCTTCTTTGGCGTTCTGCCTGCATCACCCCGCCCAAGCCAGGTACACTTACCCATCAAGTCACGGTTCGATCTTTCCGTTGGCTCATACGCGACTTCCTAGCAAGAACAGGAAATGTGTTTTCCTTTCCGAGAAGCGACTACGTGTAAGTCTACACCTCATTTCTCCTGTTTGTTTATAACCACAGGAATCGCGCATCCGCTCCAAAGGCCATCTCGATTTCGGCAAGCCCAGCATCACAGATTATCTTCCGGCACATCAACGTCAAGCCGCAAGTCCCCAGAACCATGGTACGTCAGGAAGCTGGGATTTTAAAACCTGTTTCATCAAGGAGTCCCTCTGCATACCATCATATTAGGCCTACCTGCACCTCACAAAAGCTTCCGATGTATCACCTGCACATCATCTGCGCGCGCACACACATCCCCTCCTCTAAACACACCCAACAAGATCTTGAGAGACACTATCAAGACATGTCGGACAACAGCAAAGACACCGTAAAAAGCCCTAGTGCGACGGCGAGCGTTCCGAGACGCGCGATCCCCGAAACAATGTACGACCGCGTAAAGCACCTCCCCGAGTACAAGGCCTGGGTGGCTGGTGGGGGTTTGGCGCGATTCGCCAACGAACAAAATCTGGAAACAGATTTTGTAGATCACATATTCCGCACCAGCCCCCAGGTCCAGATTGCGTACGATAGAATCCTCCGAACAATGCCCAGCCTATTGCAGGAGATGACCCGGGATATGAGGCCAGAGCCGACGACCTACAGCCAGCAAACCGCACTCCAGGCGATGAACGAGTACGAACAAGGCAGCAGTTCGGCTGTAACTTCGGATGATGAGGATGGCAGTGGCGAGAAGACGAGCAACCCAGAGCACACAAGCGAGAAGGAACACACAAGCAAGCAAGTTAGCAACGCTGTGAGTCGCAAGACGCGGCAGTTCTAGATACACCTTGATACCAAGACTAATACCGGGTATTTCATAGGATGACCACGAGGACTGAAGTTGGAGCGCGTTCATGACAGAAAACCGTCCCAATTCCTCACCCTTCAGTTGCAGGAGAGCGCGCAACCTTCAATGGAGCAGCCCAACAAAGAGGTGTTCCGCCTCGGTGGAGGGTAGCCCCGCGAAGAGACTGAAGCGAGAATGATCGTTACGAGCGACGTTGTGGGTCGAAAGACTCGGTAGCCCTAGATACATCTTGGTACCAACCTTGGAAGACTCAGAAACGATGTACGACCGGGACCGGGTGCAACACCTTCCTGAATACAAGACCTAGGTGGCTAGTGGGAACCTGGGACAATTTGCAGAAGAACATGTGTCTTCATGACCATTACAATCCTCATGTTCGGCAGTCGTTCAATGACGTAACCGTTACCACTTCATACATCACAGCGACATACCTAGGTATACACCAACTCTACAAATACCACACCCAAAACATACCAAAAATCCCGTAAACACATCCCAACCATCCAATCCACCGCCAAAATGCCACACCCAAGCCTCGAATACACCACCGTCCAACCCCCGTTATCCACCTACCCCAACGGCGCCACCCGCAACAACACCAACGGAACCGACGCCTCCGTCCTCGACCGCCTCAAGATCCGCGAAATCTGCGAAGGCTGGGGCATGTACCGCGACGCCGCTGAGTGGCAAAACTACTCTTCCATGTTCCACCCCGGCGCCTACATCACAACATCATGGACGCAAGGCCGCCTCGATGACTTTATCGCGTCCTCTAAAGAGGGGTTTGAGAAACAGACTCCGCATGGCCCGTTCCCGTACATCCTACATAGGATTTGTGGTCAGACAGTCGATGTACAAGGCGACCGGGCGATAAGTAAAATGAAAGTCACGATTACGTGTCGCATCATGCTTGACGACATCGAAATGGACAATGAAGCTGATACCCGCTTCTTCTTCTTCCTATCAAAAAATGAGGCTGGGAAATGGGGTGTCAATTTCATGACTTTGTTGTTCGACAAGGACAAGATGGTGCCTGTGGTGCCGGGCAAGGCGTTCGAAGTACCTGAAGAAGAGATCAAGCAGTATCCGAGTGGGTATCGGTATTTGGCTTGGGCGGAGAGCAAGGCGGGCAGACCGCCGAAGATGGATTTGAATGCGCATGGGCCGGAGAGGGATGTGTTGTACGGGAAGTGTAAGATTTGGTTGGATGGAGGAGATGTTAGGCCGAATCTTACGGGGGAGGATTTGGGGGAGTGGTAGATTGTGGAGTGAAGACGATGGACGGGGTGATGGTCACGAAGTAGTCGATGGCCTTTTGAAGAGCAGAAGGACTATAGATAAAGACTTGTATAGCATGACATCGGTACTTGACAAGCAAAAACAATAGCTGTTAACTCCCATGAGAGTCGAACTCATAACCTTCACGGTTCAAGCGGGCCTTCCATCCCGGAGTGCGTCCACTCTCAAAGATGTAGGCGACGCTTGAATAGAAGCGTGATGCGCTACCATTGCGCCAGAGAGTCTTCCTTTCACTTATGAGATATTCCAAATTCTTATGAGCTATGTATCAGGCGCCTTCCGTCCAGGTCAAACAAGGCCAGTCATGTGCAACGGCGTGGCCTCTACGCGACATCCTCGACCTTCACACCTTTCTGCTTCTTCTCCACCGGCTCTTCCTTGACCACTACCTCCTCTTGGCCAACCGGCTCCTGCGGCGTCTCATCCCGCTTCCTCTTCTTAGGCTTAGGCTTAGGCTTGGGCTTGGGCTTAGGTGTCGGCGTATCAGGCGTTTGCAGTCTATCATTCGGAGCAGCTACAGGCCTCGGTTGAGGCACCTCAGGAATGATGTTGTAATGCTGAAACATAGGTGTCTTGGGCATGAGCCGACGGGTAAGTTTGTCGTGGTATACCGCACCTGCTTCCCCAAAGATGGGAGAGTCGAAGTTATTGGTTTCTATAGCTTCGAAGATTTCATCGATGTCTGCCTGGGGCCGGGGGACGACTTGGACTGGTGGATGATTGACGGGCGTGGCGGTGGGTGTTGGACATTGTGCAGGAGTGCCTGGCGTTGGATGATGAGTTTGGTGCGACTCCTGCGGATGTTGATCACCTGTTGGTGATGCGGCCTCTGGAGAGGCTTGGCTAGCTGGCATTCGCTCCGTAGGTGCCTGCGGTGGAAACAACTGATCATACAGTGGCGGCGGGGAAGGCATACTTAGTGTAATCGTAGGTAGATTTGATAGAACACTAGTCGCACTTGCATCTTCCCCACTGTCCAGACGCGCTTCACCGTCTGCAGATGGTGCAGGCATCTGTGCGTCTGTCTGAGTATCGCGGACCTGAGGCGAAGAGTGAACAGTTTCGGAGACATGTTGCGAAGTCGCTACTGCTTCTTCTGGTGATCGCCTATCGGATTCGCGGGCGGTTTCCATCGGGTGTAAATACCTCTTACTGTAGAGTTGTAAAGTTATGGATTAGGGAAGTGAATCCCGTTGGCAAGCCAATATTTGAACAGGAAGGGAACGCGTTCACTAAGCCGGTGGCTGGGATGTGGACGAGCCTCGAGCCTTCACCAGGGTCAATGGTGATTCAGCGGCCAATTGAGAAAGTACTATTCACTTCCGCGTGAGTTGGAAGCGCTTTGAACGGGTCTTGTTTGCGCGTCTAGAAGGTAATAGGCACATCGAGTGGCCAGGAGAAGCTGCCACGGCTGCCCCATCTGGAAAGAACGGTGAATACGAAGAACGCCATCCCGGCCGACGTCGACTTTACGTGATCAAATACAACTGATCTATACGCACGTCATATATTGAAAATATCTGTTCGAAGACGAAGTTGATGCATGCTGACATGAGGTCGATGGGCGGGAAAAATGCTGCATCTGGTGGTGCGAGCTTTGCGCCATCACGGACCAGCTCAGCCGAAGACTTCCCTACACGACGGCAGGCCATGTAACGGCTTCAAATCATTCACTAAGGGCTGTGCTGCTCGGGAATGAAGATGACGGAGGGCGTTGAAAAGATCTGAAATGGGTTGTGATGAAACGATGTTAAGGTACGTGATTGACGATCGATGATGCGGCTAGATTTTGACCGGCCAATCAGCAGCGACTTGCCTCAAGACGAACTCATCGACGGCTTCGAGGGCCCCTACTTCTATCGCGTCTTCAGTGAGCACAGTGCGACGACTTACAGGCCCAGTTTTTCGGTCGGTGCAAGTTTGTTCCAGTCCAGGTGTGACTTTTCGTATGCTCATCTGAGTCCGGATTGCATAGAAGAACACCTTCGTCTTCGCGACTCACAAGCTAGTCCTTTCATAACGGTCTTTAGCGACTTCGGTAATCTTTGTCGTCTGACTGTATGACTTTCGTGCTAACTGGTAACAGCTGCGGCGTTATGTGAAGCGTTCGACCTCTATGTCCGAGGGCATGAAGCTATCCAGGTAGTTCAGATCCAGGCTTCAGGCCTGGTGACCGATCTCGTAAGCCCAGCCAGCAATCACAGTGCTCTGATACCGTCATGGCAAGGCACAAAAGGTCACAAAGACCGGTGGCTATGCATGGCTGATCTTGGACCAAACCTCGGTGTCAACCCCATATATATTCGCCCTTCAGAATGGCTGGCGTGTGGCTCAATATCCAAAGCTCGGTTCTCAGCGGCCTGGCCGATCATTGGAGAACGACTGTACTTCAACGAAGAAACGAGCGAGGATCTCGTAGATCTTTTCACGCACGTATGTGGACATGTGCCGGAACGTGTCCTAGGCCATGATACGTCCGAGCGATATGAATACGATTGGGATGATGGATGCTTTGTTGGAACTCGGCGTTGGAGCGATGCGAGCGCGTCTATCCAAGAAACGAGCGTGGCTGGCGCGGGACTGGGACTTGGGCTTGCTGTTTCACAATTTGCGCGGCCGACGCCATTCGGGTATGCCGGCTATCTGCGTGGAATGGTTGTGATGGACTGATGTATCACGTATCTTGTAAAAGTATTGTACGATGAGATGAGGTGACCTTGGAAGGAGATCTGCAGGGGGAAGGCAGCAATGGCACTAGGCTCAGATAGGACAAGCGGGCTACGCCGTTCCGTCGTGACATGTGGACCCATGTCAGCAACCCCTCTTCTCTACGACAACATTATCGGTACGGTCAATCGTTGCACACCAAAACTTTCGCGCCCAAGAGATCTCTTTGACAAAATGGACGCTGTGTAAGTAGTCATGATACCTCTCGAATCTGGCTCGAAACAGCACTAACATCAGCGTAGCACATTGCATAACCAGATTGAATCGCCCCTACTACGCCTGCCCGCAGAACTTCGCAATAGGATCTACGAACACGTCTTCCGCGTGGACTGTATCAATTTCTATGACATGCGCCCCTGGGATTACAACGCGAGCAAATATAAGAGGCCTGATTACAACCCCAATCCCGTGCGCGGGACAAAGCCAGCTTCACAATCCCTATCCTCGCTTCTCAAAAATCTACTAGTATGCCGCCAGTACTATGCGGAGACCAGGTTGCTGGTATTCAAGCTGAGTTCTCTCTGTGGACGTCCCGGAGATCTACTTTACGCTGTGGAAAAGATGCCCAGGGACGTGCGAGACGCCATTGCAGTGCTTCGCATCTACGAAAACGAAAACTGGACCAGACTTTACCGAGATTTTTACCTCCCGACAGATCTTCCTAACCTGCGAAAGGCCGAAGTGCATTCTTGGGCTCCTAAGGTCGTGGGAGATCCGCTCTTGTTTGCCCATGAATGGAACAAACGTCATGTTCCAGAGGACAACGAGGTTTTACGTTTGAGAGTTGAGAAATTTTTCAGAGATCTCAAATTTGAGGAAACTGAGGATGCGCTCATTGATGTTCAAAAACATGTCCGCGGTTGGTTTGAGGAGGGACTTGAAATTGCGTCGATCGATGCTGCGACTCCCTGTTATAAACACGTCATGGGGGAAAGGTGGGAGGTTATGTAGGATGAGACGAGGCATGCGGGAATCTTGTAGACCAGTATATTGTACTCACAAGTTCTCTGATTTGTTAGGATATCTTCTCGTCTAGGTCGTCGATGTTGCGGAAGTTGTGTGTGTAGTCCACCAAGGACTTCTACTATGATACCGCACTTTACGCATGTGTATAGTTTTAGAGAGCTCGTAGTCTTTGTATCATTGCAATTGCTATGATATATGCACCTTCGCCATACGCTTCAAATTCACAGCTTCCGTATGATCAAAACGCGCCCACCTCCAGCATCCTTCCGGTACTGGTGCAAGTCCGCCTCTACAATCTCAACCTTCTCCTCCTTCTCCAGTCTCTTCACTTCCTTCTCAAACCCCTTTTCCACCCAGAAGCTATCTAGCACAGTCGCGACGACAACCCCACCGTCCTTGACGATCCTTACGAATTCCTCCAGCGGTTTCGGTCCAAGATGACCATGCGTGAACGTACCACAGCATGTCAGCGCATCGAACTTTCCGTCCTCAAACTCCAACCTCTTCGTCAAATCCGCAGTCGTAAGGTCATCGTACACCGCGGTGTTCTTAGCAACAGCTAGCATGCCCTCGCTGATGTCGAGACCCAGGATATCCGTAGCGCCAAGCTTGGACAGCTCAATTCCGACAAGGCCGGTACCGCATCCTGCGTCCGCAATCTTGAGGCCGGCGAGAGGCTTGTCAGGTGAGATATGGTTCAACTTCAGGCCTCGGGCTACTGCTTCGGCGACAAGGCGTGGCGCGGTGAAGTCGTGCAGGGTCATATCTGAGTCGTAAGTCTTCGCCCATTCGTCGTATAACCCGCGCGACTCTTCGGTGGTTTTGGCGGCGAAGACGCGATCTAGCAGCGACTTCTCGTCTAATGTTGCCATGTTGAGAGTGTAACGTGTGTCGAGCGATACCGGTGTGACTGCGTGCTTTTAAGGCTCTATGAGAAGCAGTGCTAAAACGATTTGATGAAAACGGAGAATGCTTGATGACAATCTGGGTGGTTGTTCGTGATGAAGCGGTACCTAGGTGGAGGTCTACTGACAGGTGTTACGCGTGACGTCATCAGTCGCGATAAATGACACCGCGACAACACCATGATCGCACAACCAAACTACCTTGAAAACGAGCACCGTCCAGGTACTATGGCCTAGAAGCCTCGAACTTCTCCGCGGCACCCGCATATATGGCCATTCTCCTCCTAAGTTCTTGAGTCCTTTCCGACTCTATCTCTCTCTTCAAATTTATCACCAATACCTTCTCCCAGCTCGGAAATTTCCGCAATGCTTCCAGATTTTTGTCAAATTTACTCTCTTTGAGCCGTCTCAGTGATATATCATTGAACACCGACAAATTCTTAAAACATGCGACTACGTTAGCAGGCAACGCATCCGTGATAGATGCAAGTTCTCCAAAGCCAACATGAAGCGGGCTCAGCAAGAATGGCAAGAAGGCAGTTTCATGATGTATCTGTCGACAGACCATGGATGTGGAAAGGAGCCAATCTAAGGTCTCATATGGACGGGACTCGCGACAAGGACGATGAGCGACTCTGATTAGGAGATGATGTCGAGCGATGTGAAGGATGTCAATAAAGTAGCAAGTGAATATGTACCCATAGATCTGGTTACGCAGCTCTGGCGGAAGACGTAGCAAAGGAGAAGCTGCCTGATTCCGTTTTGTACTTCCAAAGTCAGTAGGGTCTTCAACATAATGACAATGTCGGTAGTGTTACCCACATCTCGTCTGCTTCCGATTTTGTCAAATTGCTGATGGAAATATGCTTGTCACGACGCAAGTATTCGCAGAGCGAACAGCTACACGTGGTGTATGCGCCATGAGATTGGTGTGACATGCCTTGGACTGATTGAGCGAAGAAGAATTATTGCTGCTGGTACACCAGATAAGGGAGATGATTGCTTCTACGGAGAGCCAGGGTTTTATACGGATGATGGGCTGTGTGGACACTGGCGCATCATGCGGACAAAGACCAAATTGCATCACAAACAATATGGGTCGCCAGGTGGTTCTCGTAGTATCGGCGTTTTGAACAAGCTGATCGCATGCTTGTCCATTCGATAGTCGATATAGCCACGTGTCGCGCACAGGCTTTGGTTGGGAGGGTAAGTAGCTAGACTTCGGTCGTCCTAGTGACGGCCACTCGGTATAGGCAATGAACAATGTGATGCAGTGATGTATATAGAGAATGTACAGTGTGTATTAGCGAAAAGAGATAACGCATGAGACGAAGACAGCGTATCCATGAACGAAGAATGGCTGGAA